GTGTCTTTGGAACACAAAGCCCATTGAGAGTGGCACCAGGCAGGCCAGGGAGAAGCCCAGATGAAGCAGAGGAGACAGGCAGGGCCAGATCCTGGTAGGGAGTTAGGTTTTCAACTGAGGGCTATTAGGAAGGATTTAGACCCCTTAGTATGGAGCTTGCACACAGTAGGTGCTCAGTAAGTATTAGTTACTATGATGAGGAGGAAACATTTGGGGTTTTTTTTGGTTTGCTTGCTTTGAGGGAGTGACAGATCATATCTGGGTTTTTGGTGCTGTGTCCCCATAGCTGAGGGGGGAGGCCTTATGTTGGGGAACTTGGAGGTGGGAATGCAAGATGGGAGGCCTCAGTGGGAGTTAACGGGTTAAGAAGGGGCTGGGGTAGATGCTCTAAGATTGAGGTTCAGTCCAGAGAATGTAGCAGCCTTGGGAGGGGGAGTGGGGAGTGGCTATTGAGTGGGCCAGGAAGATGCTGAGACTTGCAGCCTGTGTGCCCAGGATGGAGGAAGTCATGTTTCTGCAAGGGACCATCCTGAATTCAGATAGGGACTCGCAGAATTGGAGGTGCCATTGGAACCACCCTGCGGAGATGTCTTGCAGGTGGCTGGAGGTGGAAGTCTGTGACTCTAGCTCCTAGTCACAAAATGAAATCTATTAAGTTAATGAATGAATGCCCTGCTGATGGCTTGTTGCAGAGTTCATTTCCATGTGCTTTCTGAAGTGCTGCAAAGAATGGATGGCTGTTAAACTCCTACCTTCTCTCCTCTTGGATTTCCTTTTATAAAATAGTGCCTGAATTGAAAGCAGGCAAATTAATACATGTATAAGCAATTGCTCGTATAGAAGCAGGGCTTATGTAACTCACCTCTCCCTCAACCAAAAGGTTACTCATTAAATGGATGAACAAACAACCCCTAATGAAGCATTATCTTCGGTCTGTAAGTCGAAATGATTTAGCATATTGGGTCTATAGGTCTTGCCTCCTGAGATATGATGACTTGTTTTTAAAAGCCTTTCTAAAATGTCCAAATTAGCTTTCATTGCTTAAAATAAATACTCTAAAAACATTTCAAGATGATTTCCTGTTTAAGAAAAATTCGGGTGGAAATTTCCATGGAAATGAAGAGTTGGTTTTACTTAATCCATTCGAGGAACGTTTGGAGAACACCTCGGTGTCATGTGCTGGGATGTAGCTGTAAACCATCGATACAGTTTAGTGCTGATGTCGGAAAAAATAAACGCTGTCTCTTATGATAGGGAAAGTGCAGAGGGTCAGGGGCTCGAGCTCATGGAGAGGTCAAGGAATATCTCTCTATGGAAATGATATTGAAGCGGAGACTTCAGGCTTGAACATGGAGTCCTAAGAGAATAGGGCAGAGCAGAGAAAATAAAGATGACAGTGAGAGTAAGTGGCTGGAGTGCAGACCAGAAAAAGGGTGGGGGGAGAAATGCCTGAGAGATAGAGGCAGGAGTCAGATGACCTAAAAAACTGCAAGAGATGTGAATTTTATCCTCATGGGAATAGGTAGCCATTGAAAGCTTTTAAACACAAGGGTGACATGATCATATGTAGGGATTTCAGAAGGTTGTTCTAGCTGCCAGGGAGCAAAGCAGCGGTTGGGAGGCCAGTTAGGATGCTGTTGACAAAACATCCAAGTTGAGACTGTCAGTAACTGCCGTTAAGGCAGGCTTGAGGCTGAAGTGAACACATTTGTGTAAGGCTCAGAAGGCCAGACAGAGGGGGTCTGAAAGGTCTTACCCAGTGAGTGCATAATAAACACCCAAATATTTAAGTCCTTCATATTCCACTCATGCATCAGCCCACTCTTCTGTGTTCTTCATGCCACTGAACAACACCTGCCACTGTCAACCTTTCTGCCATATCCAAAGAGCACTTCTGTGTCTTCATTCTGATTGATATTCCAACACTAATCAGCACAGATAGCCCTGACCCTCTTGAAATCCAATCCTTCCCCTGTATTGGCAGCATTGCACCTGCCTAATTTGCCTCCCACTGCCTCAGCTGTTCCTTCTCAGACTTCTTCCCCCGTTGTCCCCATACATTTCTCTAGCTATTTCAGTTCCTCGGGATGCAGGCTTGGAGTCTTCTCGACCTCCACTCTCTTCCTAGGGGATCTCATCTCTCCCGCCCCTTCAAAATCATC